CTGTTCCGTTGGTCCAAAGTATTTGAATTTGGCACTGTAGGGAAGACTTATCTCCACAGTAATATTCATTGTATTTTGAGTCTTTGGAAAATAAAAATCTCACTTCTCGTTGTTTTTGAAAAAACTTTTTTTTAAGGAAATTTTTCAACAAAAATGTGGTCAACGGGAAAGAGTTTTTTTTTTTTTTGTTTCTTTTATAATTAATATATTTTATTTTTTAAATAAAAGTTTAATTTCAATTAAAAATATATAAATCTTTAGTTAACACTTAAGAAATTTATATAATATACAAGTAAATTATAATAAAAATAATATAATATAAAAATATAAAAACAATTAATATATATTATATTATTATTATAAAGCTAAAATATAAATATAAAGAATAGTATTAAAAATAATAAACAAGTATAATTTTCTAATAATATAACCTTATAAATTTTTTAGTAAATAAGAATAATACAAATTGTTATAATAATTTAACTAAATAAAAATAATATAATTATATTTATTTTTATTCAAGAAAATTTTAAAAAATTTTTATATTATATAGTAATTCAAATTATTAGAATTTTTTTTTTGTTATACTGTATATAACTTATTAAAAATCTATTGAATTAAATGAAAATTTAAATTTTAAAAATTTAAATATTATAAAATTATTTTTGCTTATATATTAGTTTATAAATTATAATAATAATATTATTTTAACAATTATTTTAATCAAAAAATTTATATTATACAATATATTATTTTTATAAATAAATATTTATAAATTTAAATTTTTTTATATCTTTTTTGTATTAAATACTATAAAAAAATAATATACTGTACTGTATTATGTTTTTTGAAATATAATATAACTTAGAAATTTTTTTTTAATATTTAAATAATATTCCAAATTAATATAAAATATTTTTAATTAAGATTATTTTATTAATACTGAAAAATTTATATTTTATTTATATATATATTTTTTTGATTAATATTTAATTTGATTTAAAAAATTTTTTTTTCAAAAATTTGGGTTCATAAATTTTATGTGATTAAATTAACAGTGCACTTGAAGAAGTAATACTATACTATATCGATTCTGTGCTTTTTATAATTTCATGCATATTTAAAAATATTTTAATTGAATTTTCTTTTTTTTTTTTAAAAAAAAAAAAATCCAATGTATTTTTGTCAGAATTGCATGTAGACTTCTCGATGACTACATGTAATGACTTTTCTTAAATAAATTCGATTCGACTACTGTATCTCTTAATGTACAGCATTGATTAATCTTCCTCTACTGCATATTTATACAGTATATTTGTAGCGTCTAGAGTATGATAGATATCATAATTTTCATATGAAATCCGCATATAAGAGAAAATGGTCATGATATTGAAGACTCAGTATATACTGTATAGTTTACTTTGGTAAAAACTCTGTCACAAATAATATATAATACATAAAAATGTTTTAATTGAAGGAATTGTTTTGGAACTTAAGTTATCGCGCGTTCAGGATATATGTTGATGTCAAAATAAATAATTTGTTCGTGGTGATATTTATCTCGAATTTTAGTATTCGATATGTATACCGTTCGTTTATTAATCATGAGCTTTTCTATATTATACAGGAGAAAAATACTTTAAAAAATCGACTAATTAAACACAGCATTACAAATAATTATCTACACATCTTATTTCTCTTCAAAAGAAATTGTTAAAAAAAAAAGCTTCAATATTTTCATCCCTTATAATCATTGTGCATGTTTAAAGGAAAAATTATTTAGCATATTAGATCATGCCATATCCTGCGGCGGGTAAAGCAGCAATAGGTAAAGCGGCAGCAGGCATGGCGGCAAGAGGCAAAGCACCCATGACTCCGGGATTGGCAAAGCCCATTCCCATTCCACCACCACCTATAAATGGATCGGCGACACGTTTAACGAGCACAAATGGTTGGGCATCTTGAGTAGCACTTGGGTCGCGTTTTTCAAAGTCTTGTTGTTGCGGAGTATTGGTGTCGATGTCACGTTTCTTCAAAATCGGAACGCCACCTAGACCACCATAACCTAGACCTCCATATCCCATACCTCCATAACCTAGACCTCCATAACCTAGACCTCCATAACCTAGACCACCGTAACCCAAACCACCAAGACCGCCGTAGCCGCCATACATGCCACTGCTATAACCGGCTTGATTTTGATATCCGGCACCGTAACCTCCAAATCCACCACCAAAGTAACGTTTTTCAATGTCTTGCGTGGTTTCTGCAGCTGAGGTGACAGAGGATGGATTGGGATCTGCTACTGGTTCGGGCTCTGGGTTGGCGATAGGTGTCGACAGGACGATATTGACGAAAAGTAGGAGGGTGAGAGTAAGGAAAATGTTGAAGCAGTGGAATTTCGACATCTCGTTTGAAGCTTTTTTTTTTTTTATGTTGACGGCTAATAATGAAGATGTCTTTTATTTTCTTAGAAGAAATTTTTTGACGATGCGAACAAAGCCCAGAACGGTTGGTTAAATAGCGTTCACGACCGATCGCATGATGCATCGCCGCATACCATCACTAGATAAGTCAAGAAAAAAAATGAATTAATCTTTCCTTTAGCATCGTACATTTCTGCTAGGAAAAGTATTATTGGATTTGAATGAAATAAATAAATTCATGCGATGGTGATGCATTCGGCGATTTGAGGGTTGATATCGTAAGCGCATATTTTACCGAAAACCTCGGTGCATTTAATGCATATCCGTATTTGATTACATATTGCATGACCGCAGATCCTTTTTCTCACGTTGAGTCAGGTGTGAAATGCGTGTATCACATGACGTTGTTTATCACTGGTTCTTGCGAAACCTACACGCCTACACGTCGGTTTAACCTTTAATGACAACGAAGAATAACGCGGAGAATGTGGAAAAGATGTACACTTTTACATGGAATATTAGAGATTTCCAGGACCTCTTTAAAAGAATGAAGGAGACCGATGACCATTTTAGCGAAAGGTTCTATTCACCAGTTTCACTGTCGTCCTCAAGTGGTCTAGAGCAACGACACGTTTGGCGTTTCTCTGTTCGCCCACGGGGAGGAAAAAATTCGAAAGAACACATGTCAGCCTTCCTTTGGTCATACCAATCAGATTATGAAAGAGAGAAAGGTTTGGATTCCCGAAAAATTAAATACAGCGTGGACGTCTATAGATCCGCACCCTCTGATTCGCCAGGCTCAACACCTAGCCTCGTGAAGTTGAAAACTAAACGGGGTGTCGAGATAAACATCTTCAACTTTTTTACACACGAATCAGCATGGGGAAGCTCCGAATTTTGCGCGTTAAGCGAAATCTTTCCTAACAACGAACGAAACCGAAAGGTCGATCTGGTGATAAATATTAATTTCTTCGAGTCGGCTCAACCAAACGTCATCAATGATGGTCTATCCGTCAATGACAGTGTTATATGTAAACGATATACACCATCATTGGATAAATATTTCGATAACGAAGCATACAGCGACGTTGAATTTTCATTTGATTGCGGATTGAAACTCAAGGCATCCCGCGTGGTCCTTGCCTCAAGGTCATCTTATTTTGAGAGCATGTTCGAAGGCAGTTGGAAGGAAACCAAGCTATTTACAATTCCAATCGAGGGCGTTAAATATGAATGCTTTAAGTTGTTGATACGATTCATATACACCGGTAGATTGGCTGATGGTCTGGACTTTGACATCTTGATGAATCTCTATGTTGAAGCGGAAATAAGGAACCTCGAAGAACTGAGAGATTTGGTTTCTTCACAGATCGTTTGCCATCATCGAATCACATCGGAGAATTGGGAGCAATATTTGATTTTGGGATGGAAGACTAATAACAGAGTGTTGAAAGAGATGGGTCTAAAATACGCGTGTGATAATTGGGACGCGGTGAAGGATACAATTGGCATGCAACGAGTTTTGAGTTGCGGTGTTACCACATGGGTCGAGGAATTGATGTTGACAAAATTATTTGGTTACAAGTCGAATTAATTAACCGGAGAATATTTTTGGATTATATTATATATAGATATATATATTCGTGTTCCTATTATTAGACGTAATTTAATGATATAGGAAGAGCATTGTCTCATTAGAACTTCCGGAATTTCTGTTATCTCCCGTGTTTCACTTTTTTCTACATCACAGAACATTGTTGAAGGGTTTTTTATGCATTTTTCTTTTTCTTCTCTAATAACTAGAATCAAGACAATTCACAATGGCAAAATTGTAAATAACAATGAATATTATGAAATCAATTAAAAAATCAAATGTGTGCATTTTTCATCTATTCACGAGTCTTTGCTGAAATGCAATGATCGATGTAAATGATACTCGTTATAAAAAAGGAGATTTGTTTTTTCTCATTATAAGTTTGCTTTTTGAATTCCTTCATATGAACATTATAGAGTGGTGAAACTTTTCGTATCGCGATTGGATTACATTTTCTAAATTAATTATCAATTCAAAAACACTTTCATCAGGCCAACAAAAAAATTAACGGAAAGAATATCAATTTCAAAATTTCCCAATTTAGCGCTGTAGTGAATGAGGCATTAAGTAAATTTCTTATACTGTACATTCGAGTCTTTTCAATTCAATTTTTCTAGTCACGTGTAACCAAAGTAGTTCTCACGAGATCAACACAAGTGACGTCACTACTGCGCACCATATTTAAATAATTAACCGCGTCATTATATTATGCCGAATGCCCGTTAGTTCGAATGGCAAAACACAAAAGAAAAAACAAAACAATATCAAATAGTCGGAATAGAAGAATGGAAATAATTGAGGCGAAAGAAAATCCAATGAAAGTAAAGAAAATTCAGTAGAGGTAAAAAGAAAACAAGAAACCACCACCTAGACTAGACCACTTGGACCACCTATTCACCATCAGTCCTTTATGTGCGCTTCCACTCGAGACATTTTGTCACCTATGTATTTTCAAATCACCTGCCGACTTATTTCACTCACTAGAGATTATAGGAGGTTTTACATTTGTTTGTACTGTGAATAATCTGGAAAGATTCCCATTTGAACTTCATTCATGCCTAACCGTAAAAAACCACCTACTCACGGATGAACGCGACTATGTTCTTGTTGGTGGACAGTAAATGTCGTGTGTGCGGAGTGAAAAACAATGTGATTATTCAATGGATGCTTACTGTTCGCATTCGCAGGACCTAAAAGAGAACCTTCATCGGTAAGTTTAGCTTCACTGAAAATTACATACATTTTGAAATATATTTTGAAACTTCTTTGCAGTAGGATTATCACCGAGATAAATTTTCCCAAATCTGTTTTTTATACGTTCCCTGTAAGTTCGTTAACAGTCGTCGGCGTTGGTTGGAGAAAATGGTCATAAGTAAGAACGAGGAATTCAAGAGAATTCTATGAGAACGTCTTGTGGATCAGGGCTCAGCATAGGATATATCTGGATAACTTCTCGAAACAATACCTTTATCGCTGAGAAGATAAAGCGAGTCGAGCTTATTGCAAAAAACAATTAAATGGTTATGTTAAAGGGGTTGATGAACAAGGTAATCCGAAGAATTCTAATGATCTCTTGCAAAGGTGTCTATCCATTAAGCATGACTTAAACCCTTCTGAACTTTTGGCTGGAACAATTCGAAAAAAAACAAACAGAATATGAGTAGGATGGATTAGATTCGAGTTACTTTAAATCTGTTTGGTCGATTGATCTAACAATTCGGATGTTTTTAAGCAGATTTTTATTTAAGTCGAATATTTTCTACTGTATAACAATCCTACAATAATGAAAAAAAAAATCGAACCGATCAAATCTATCCAACAAACGATTTCAGTCAAAATTACTACTGAAAAATCTTTAATGGCTATTTCCAGAGAGGAAACGTTGGATGCATTCAAAGTAATTAATGTTATAATTATCTAACATCTTTTGCTTCGTAAAAATTTCGTTAGCACAAACTTTACATATACTATAAAAAGTATAAAAAAATCTTTGATTATTAATATTAACTTTTTCTAAAAAAAATACCTAATTAATAAAAAATAACAATACCAATTTTAACTTAAACTTGAAGTATTTAAAAATATATTAAAATTTTAATTATAACGCAAAATTCAAATTTTTACAAGATTTTTTAATAAATGCATTTGTATGGTTTTTTTTTAAAAAAATTAATTTTAATTTAAATCATTAAGCATATAATAATTTTAATTATAACTTAAAACTTAATATAATTTAAAAACACATAATATTAATAATTTCTTTATAAATAACATACAATTTTACAATTTTTAATTATTAATATTAAAAAAAATAAAAATTTTTTAATTTTTTAATATTTTTTCTTTAATGTTTTTTTAAATTTAATAATAATAATTTGATTTGATTTTGCAATTTTATCTTTAATAAAAATTTATATTATTTTTTTTTTAAGAATTTAAGTAATAATGTTTTGTTAAATATTTTTTATAAATTATAATTATTATATAAAAAAAGATTTGAAATTGATATTCCAAGTTTTTTAAAATAAATTAATTAAAAAATTAATTTTAATTTTTGTATTAAGCAATATAAAATTAATAAATTGGTTTTTATATCACAATTTTAATTTGATTTAATTATATAGATTTTAATTTTAAAAAGATAAAAAAATTTTAATTAATAAATTTAAATTTATTTTATTTTACAATTTTATTAAATAAATCTATTATTATATTATATCACAAGAGATATTTAAATATAATATTATTAATCTTATTGTTTTTTGATATATTTTTTTATTAAACAATATTTAAGCAATAATTATATTATTATTACTATTATTATCAATTAACAATTATTATATCCAATCAATTATTAAGAGAATATATTATTATTACTATTATATACTTTGAAATATAGCCTGATTATTTTAAAAAGTATAACTAAGACTTTGAAAAATACTGAACTGGTACCAAAGTAATATTGAAATAGTACTAATCTATAGTAAATTTAATATACTGTATAAGTTGTAATCTATTTATATAAATTTATAATAAATTTAAGGATTGAATTGATATTAAATAGGTATTAAAATAATATCATTAGGAGCCCTAAATATAACTATACTTTAAGAAAGTGAAATTATCAAAATAATATATTTAGATATAATAACAATTCTATAAATAATTGATTTTATAATTAGTTTTTTTAATATTTTTTTATTTGTGTTTCTCTTTCAATTTTTATTTTCTTTAAATCTTATTACATATAACTTTAAGTAGATATTTATAGCTATTCAATATTATTTTAATATAAATATTTATTTATTTATTTTTTAAATAGTTTATTATAAACAAGTTAATATTAAACTTATTAATTAATTGATTATATAAGAAATATTGTCACTTTCTTTATTTATAAAAATTTCATATTTTTATAAAATAATAAAACAATAATGTTTATTTACAAAAAAAAATAATATAAAAAAGAAATATTTGTATATTTGAAGATATAAAGAATAAAAATATATAAAAAAATTTTTAAATATATTAAAATAATATAATTAAATTATAATTAAAAAGAGATAATAATTTAAAAATTCAAAATTTTTTTATCAAATATTAAAAAACAATAATACCAATTATTAAAATTATTTCAATATATAAATTAATTAAATATAAATTAATGAAACTTTAAAATAATTTTTTTAAAATTTTTTTGACTTAATAATAAGTTATTTATTTTTTTAATAAAATTTAACAAAAAATTTTTCAATAGTAATAAAATATTTTTATATTATAAAAAAGACACGATTAATTTATTAATTAATTATATGATAATTTATAAAAGCTATTAATTAATCAATTATAGTTTATATTGTTATTTGCAAAAAAAAATTTTTTTTTTAATTTTAATATTTGATTAAAATTTTTTTATTTTAAGTAGACATATAATAATCAATTATGGTTTGTATAATTTGTAAATATTGTAAGAATTAAAATTTACAAAAAGAATTTTTTAATAAATATTTCAATCATTTTCGTTTAAGTATAATTTTTTTAATTTATTAAAATAGTAATTAAATTTTATTATATATATAAATGTATAATAATTTATTTAGTTTGAATATTTTTAATAATTGGTGCAATTAAATAAATAAAATCATTCATGATGAATTGTTGTAATTATTGACGATAAATTAATATAGTATGGAATTGTAATTTGATTTTTTAAAAAAATTTAATTCATTTTAATAAATTATATTATAATAAAAAAAAAAAATACAAATTTATATATCAAACGTTTTTCTAATGCAGAATTAAAAAATATAAAATTATATAAAAAGCATATTATTATTTTGTATATTATCGCATGACTTGATAAATTTTCTATTTATAAATAAAAAATTTTTTGTTTTTATTAAACGAATCATAATAAGTAATTAAAACCATTTAAATATGAAAATCGATGGAGACACCCGTGAGGTTTTCCCACCGGCTCTTTAATTATTGGCTGGGTGCAAGCGCCAGATTATAAATAAAAACGATTCGTATGTATATTACGCAGTAATAACCCATTCTTTCTTAGAATTGGTTGATATAATTCAACGGTGATAGGAAAGCAAAAAAAAATAATTATAATCATGATGATTAACTTGAATTCTGACTGCTTGCGTATTATTTTCGAATTTCTCAGTGATGAAGAGGACAGACACCTCGATTTATTTCATGTAATGATGGTGAGTGAAATATATTTTTTAATCACAGTCCAGCTGCAACCGCTCACAATCACATTAACTCTCATCAAAGGTTAATCGAGAATTTTGTAAGATCGCCGCACCCTTTCTGTGGAACAAGTTCAGCGGTCAACCAAAACAATTGATTACATACCTTTCTTGCCTTGATCAAGTTTCTCGCACCTATTTGAAAGATTGTGATATAGATTTAGAATCAATACCAATTGGCGCAACTTTCGACTATCCCTCATTTTTACACAAGTTCAATAGCAGATTGTTGATGGA